CAAATCATATCTTCTAGAGTATCACAAATCATATCTTTATAGTATCATTCATAAATTCATCAACTTCAACTATATGTGACACATACCTTTTTTTGTCACTTCACCATGCCATACCCATTTTGTGCAATTTTGAATAATTCAATCACAACATGAATGATTGACTATAACATCCATTGGGTGTTTTTGTGTATTTCAGCATTTTTTACAAGGACACTAAAAAATACCATTACTGTTAGGGAAGTTTTTTCCACGAATTCAAGAAATTGAATCAGTCCATTCTTATACTCTTTTACTTAATCTATTAGATTTCATCCAACTATAATCCATAATCATATAGAGCTTCAGAAAATAAAATAAAAATAGTACACAACCAACAAAAATGAACATTCCATCTCAATAAAACAACATTAACAACAACAACAACTAAAAATACCTGAAAAATAAAACTAAATTATACCATAAGTCTCAAAAACCATAACAATAAGAATAGCAACAACGAAGACAACAACAACAATAACCATAACAACAACAACAAAAACAACAACAATCATGGAGTAATTTTTACATACCAAAAATATGATGAGAGACTCAAAGAAAAATATTGGTTTGAGGTTTGAGCTTCTTTCATCTTGGAGAAGATCAAGAATGAGTTCGTTGCGTTTGTTGGAAAAGAAAAGTGTTTATTTCATTAGCTAGGGCGCAAAAAGTGAATGCGACTTAACATTCTGATGAAGAAACAAAATATCGTTTAGAGTTTTCATCTCAATTTTTTGGAAAAATCGGGGGGAATATAACCGAGATAAAAATTGGGTTCAATTTAATTAAATAAAATATTATTTAGAGTTTTCATATCGATTTTCAAGAAAACTGAGGGATAAGATGATTCATAAAATAAAGGCATTTTTTGGGTTCTAAGTAAAACATGAAATTACTGGAGTTGGGAATCGAAGCTCAAACCCTAAGCAACATATTATGTCGGTTTTAAACAAAACTAAGGTATAAGATTTAATTTTTAAAAATAAAAAAATAAATAAATGATGCGTTCCATGTCATTTGACCTCAGTTTTTTAATAGCTGAGGTGAAAGATTTATCATGAAATGTATTATTTATAGCAGTATACTCTCCATTTGCATGGCCTTAACTACAAAAACAACACCTAAGGATTGAGAGGGAGAAATAATTGCTTGCATCTAGACATTGTTGAACAAAATATAGTCTGAAGAATAATAACTTCTATTTGGAGACTTTTTATGATAGAAATATAATTAAGAACAATTGATATTCTAATGTGTTTGTTCCATGTGTAGAACAATTTGAAATCATCTATAGGAAATAAAGACATGATCCTCGACAGAAACAAATGATCATATACACTATAGTCAACAAGTTTGACCTCTTTGACCTTAAGTCTAAATGATCATCTGCACCAAGACAAGGGAAATAACCATCTACAATAGAGTTGACAAGTTTGACTACATGATCATCTATATCTGAGTCAACAAGTTTGACTACATGATCTTATATGCTCATTTAGAAGGACATGATCATCTGTCCTAGAGAAAGGGAATGCCATCTATGCTCAGGTTAACAAAGTTAACCATATGTTCCAAGACTAATATGAACATTTACACCTCAAGGAAAAATAATCATTTTACCCAAAAATGCCTAATCATCTATACTCAACACAATTGGCCGCATATACCTAAATGACAAAGAATTGTTGCGCTATGTCGCCACATAGAATGTTCTTAATGATCATAATGGCAATTATGCCAATACAAGGAATAAAATGATAATGTTAAGTATAAGAAATTAATAGACAAGGATTTAATACAGATAATACAACTCGAACGACTACATTCCCATGGCCAAATGACTATCAAGGAAAACATGTACAACAATTTGGAATTCTCATGTGTCTTATATAAAGGAAACATTCAAATATTAAAGGTTTCACACTATAAAATGACTAAATTGTATTAAAGTTGTGTCACTAAATATTTATAAGTTGTTGTGAATCGATGTTGTCAAGAACAAATCAAAATGTGAGAAAGATTGAGTTTGTTGAACAAACAATAAAAACCATATTAGATTTTATGAAGGAGAGAGAAGAAGGAAGAAGAAGAGCGAAATGGTTAAAACTACTTTACTATTCACTTACTCAATAAGGGTTCAAAGATTACAAGGGAATAACAACAATTAACCTCTATCTCAACAACCTGAGAGAACTAGTCTAATTATAGACTATTAAGCTAACTTAACAATTGGGCTTACAATCAAAGCCCAATTTGACATGCTACCAATCATAACATTTTGACTATTGCATGCTTGAGCATACTTCGACTACAGCATACAAGATCATCATGTGAACATACTTCAACTACATGCTAAACTCTACCTTGAAGCTACCCATGTTGAGACTACAGTTCGATCCAAATATCACAAATTTCCACCTTGGAACAAACTCTACACTAACAAGGGAATGAACTAGCTTTCATCATGCAGTTTTATCAACTGCATACAGTGGAGAAACTTTCTACTTGGCAATGTCTTGGTCATCATATCAGAAACATTATCATTAATCGAAACCTTCAACACTTGAACTTCTCCACGCTCGATTATCTCTCTGACGAAGTGCAGCCTTACATTGACGTGCTTGGTACGCTTGTGATAGAATGAATTCTTCAACATGTGTATTGCCCTTAGACTATCACATTTAACAGTGATAACTCGACCTTGGAGTTTCAGCTCCTTAGCAAAACCTTCAAGTCATAATTCTTCTTTTCAGTGAGAGAAATATATTCCGCTTCAGTGGTTGATAAGACAACAACCTTCTAAAGTGTTGTTTTCCAACTGATTGTTATGCCAAACATAATGAACACATATCCAAAAATAAGTTTTCTAGAATCCATACAATCTGCATAATCAGAGTCAACAAATCCTTCAAATTTGACTTTGCTATCATCATCATAATTCCACCATAAATCAGGAATTTGTTCAGAGACCCATTGATGTACCTTAGAATCCACTTTAATGTTTGCCAATGTGTTTTCCCAAGATTGACCATATATCTACTTACAAGGCTTACTTCGTACTTTATTTATGGCCTTCTATATTCCCGATCTAGGGCCACATGGAGGATTTATGCTGCAAAACATTTTAGTTACACGACAAATATCTAATGTGCGTGTTCTAGAGGACACTTACTCCTACTTAATGAACTTCCCCAATAATCTTCTCTAGAGTGTAGACTAGCTCAAGTAATCAAGATAGTAAAGAAGGATGATCTTAAGGTCGATCTCGAAGATCTAACTCAATCCTTGTTGCATAGAAGAGAGCAAGGACTTTGAGGTAATTATTAAGGGACGACCAAATGCCCAACAAGACTGATCCAACTCCTGAGATGCAGCCTAAAACATCCCCGTTGAATGGTGGCGAACCAATGGAGTATTGATAGAAGACCCCGTACTTGATCTAAGTTATTGGTCCATCAGATTTGATTAGACAGTCTCCCTCAACCCATGTTAGATCAAGCGAGAACGGTTTTAACCACTCATCATATATTAACTTGTCACGCGCCAAAACACATATTCGTTTATTCTCACTTTGCAAGTTACATCACGTGCCAAAACACATTAGAATACTAATCTTATAGATCTATTCCCACCACTCTATCATAGATTTTTCTCTATCGTAATCAGCTGAAAAGCTGTGCTACCACACACTTTCTATAAAGAACTTTTTAAAAAATTGTTACCTATAAGCTTCAATTTTTCAATCTTATAATTTGAATCTAAAATTAGAAACTCTATTTTTTTTTTAAGTATACAAGAGACGTTTTAAGGGAATGAGAAGAAGGGAATTTTTTTTTTAGTATACAAAAGACGTTTTAAGGGAATGAGAAGAAGGGAATAGTTATTTATCAATAATGGTATATTAAAAACAAAAACAAAACCACAAAAGTGTTTGCATATAGATTTTGACATATCCAATTCAATTAATAATGCAAAACAAAGTTAACAACAACATGTGTAGCTAGTGTCTATTATGTATTGTACATATCTCAATTTTTTTTATGCCATACCCTACCTTGATTATGATATTTCTGCGTCTTAATTGTAAGGGGTGCCCCCCAAAACTATCCCCACTACAACCCACGAGTCACTAAACATTTCTCATTGCATCATTTAATTCATCTCGGTTGCTGCAACCACTTGATTTCTATGGACAAAAACAACCACTTGATGATACAACAAGACAAATATTACCTTTTTATAACTATTCAATGTATCTGCATCTGCTTCAATAAATTAGTATATAAATAATCACTCTTGTAATAAAGCATTAATTTATAAATCAATCAAGTGATTAGTAGTATTATTTAGTGTTTTTTATTTTAAATGGTTGTTTCCTTCATAGGATTTACTATAGGATACACACATCATAAATTACATAACTATCAGACTTGGATCTAGGAGATGCAAGGGTGGGTAGCATATTTAAAATTGTTTTATTATATGTTATATAGTTTGAATTTATATATATATTGATTTTCAATCGTTCATTTCCCTTAATTCATTACCTTCTTTAGAGGCATGTCCTTGGATTCAACACACCAATAACTAGGGTCATATAATTTCTATCCAACTTGCTCAAATCACTCTGTCTCTTAGCCAAACATGACAATATCATGTGGACCAATTTCTCATAATACTCATGACAGTCCTGTTCAGCCCCCCACACAAAGTTTGAATCATTGGATATATGTCCCACAACCTTTAATCTCATTACTTTTTCTCTTAGGCCATTAACTACCTTATCATACACATGCAAGCATACATAAAAACAAAAGCAACTTGTGCATACTTACATACATACATACAAACATCTAAGTACAATCTTTCTAAGCACATTGTAGAAAGAAGCTATTCTACATAATTAAGTGATTCTGTTACAACCAGAAGCAAAATCTAAATAATACACTCAAAAGGCTAACTAATTATAGCAAATGCCTTTCATCAAAATACACTAAATCATTGCTGAAATCAGAAAACACCCCAAAACCAATTTCAAGATTTTGAGATTCACTACATGAATACAAACTAGTATCTGGCTTGGATAGTTCAAAATCCTTAAAATCAGACCACAAGTTAGCATCGAATAAATCGTCGGTGAGATCACTCCTCGGAGTAGTAGTACCCTCGTCATTGTTCGGATATTCTTGTTTCACAATTGGTCTTTCTGAGGTAACAATAGGGGAATCTTGCTGATTATAATTTGTTAGAACTTCCTTTGAGCAAGGTTGAGAATTCACAAGAAATGTGTCCCAATTTGTATCTGCAGAAAATGTGACCATTTGTGGAGTATGTAGAGTGGCATTGCATGTGTGAAATCCAATGTAGGTAATTTGGTACGTTTCTGGATTCTCTTGTATCAATTGTACTTGTTTGGTTGCTTTGCAACCTTGATCATGCTTCCGGGTACATCTGAAGTAGCTCCTGTAAATTACCAGTAAAAAGGTTTCTTATAAGACAAGTTTTTCAAAAACTCCAAAATTAATCGAAAGAATATGCCTTAAATTTGAATAACTAGTGGTCATATGACTTTTTGATCTGATTTTAACAAATTATGATTTGATTGGATCCATAGCTATGATCTAAATACGACATTGACATATTGACACCTCCTTAAAAGCGGTTCATAAATTAAACCTATATTTCTTAATCGATTTCAAACTGAATTACAATCAGTTTAAAAATTATTTTATTTTTACACCGACAAAACTTTATAGAAAAACAAATGATTACCTAGGAAATTGAGAATTGAGGATTTCCTTCTGTCCGTACTTTCTCCAGGAATGAATGTCACCAGTTGTTTTAGAAACTACGGTTCTTGTCTCATCAGTCTTCCTGCTCAATAATTTAGGGTAAACATCAATTTTCCTCCTATTATACCATACGACAAGTGCAAAATGAAAATTTGAAAATACAAGACAAAAAATCTACATATGAAAATTACATGTTTTTATTCCATCCATGTAAAAAACATGTTTTTCCTTATACATATCCCAATTCAGCAAAATCCACCCAAATAACTAAAAAAAAGTATTTTTTGACCAAAAAAGCAGTAAAATCACTAATTTTTTTCTTCCGAAAACAGGATGAAAAAGGAGAGAGAAAACTACCTTCTTTTGTAGGAACCTCTTCGATCTTTTGTGTTAGGCAACAACCTCTTCTTACTCTCACTAGAATCTTCAGATTTCACATCATCATTACATGAACCTGACACCAATGAACCATTTTCCTCAGACTTATTCACTACCTCATCAAAATTACAACCTTCAGAAGTCATCACAGAAATAGTCTCAGAGAAAGATCTCAGCAAATTATCCACCAGTTCCTTAACCGAAGCAGACCCATCAGACCCTAAACCAACACGATTCTTAAGCAGAAACTTCAGCTGAGTAGCATATTCCTTCCCCTGAAGAAGCTCCTTTACGAGCAACTTCTTCTTGGCAGAAACAATAACACTCATTGCTAGTTTACTGTAGTGGCTAAGGATCTTGTTAATGTTGTTGTTGTAGGATTGTGTAAAGATTTGGCAAATATATTGGTAGAAAAAAGGGTAAGGTTTTGCTAGGAAAGTGGGATGAAAATGAATGGAAAATATTAGGAAAGAAGGTATATGATGTTGAAATGTGAAAACATGATTAAAGTTTTACACATATAATGATAAATGTATCTTTGGCTTGGCTTGCAAAAGGTGCACATGACGTGGGCTCGTGATGTAATGCTGATGCGATTTTAATTTGTTTTTTTTATAATAATCAACTTGTCTAAGATAGTACTAATCTTTATCAATCTAAATCTGAGGTAATTAGTGGTACTAATCTATGAGTCTTGATGAATTTCTTTGTCATTTCTGATGACCACTTTTTAAAATATAATATGCTTGTAATTAATGCCAAAACGTGGATACTACCAAACAACAGAGTAATTTTATTTGTCCACCAAAGTAATTATGTATTTAAATATTTAGTGTTGTACGAATTACAAATGGCCCGGCCCACCACCGTGGTGGGCGGCGTAAATAGTTCGGATATCTCATGGTGTGTATAATCAGGAAGAGATAAGGAAGGACAGAGAAATTTCATTGCATTTCATGTGTGGTTTCATTATTACAACTTTCCCAATTTCATTGTGTGTTGTTCATCATATTCTAGACATATTCATTTTTTTTAAACTAAATTAAAAAAAACAGTTTAATTTTTGCAAAATCTTTTTTCATTCTTAGATGTGTCTCACATCAAAATCTTTTTTCATTCTTAGATGTGTCTCACATCACGAAATCTTTCGTAAATCAAATAACCATCTTATTTTTATTAAAAATTAATTTAGAGATATATCTCATTAATTTTTTAAAATTAACGGAGATACATCTGCGAAAATACCATTGAACTCATTTAATACACATTTTTATTGAATTGGTTTATTTAATCATTCAATGATGGTGTAAATGTCGTTTATGTTTACAAATTTTAATTTTATGATTTACATCATTCGTATATTATAACATGTATTTTTTTAAAAAAATAAAGCTTAAAAAGTCTACTAGAATAAAATTTGTGTTATAAACAGACCAGTTGAATTAATTTTCAAATGTACGTAAAATTAACGGACGAAAAATTTCGAGATCAGACTTGCAATTGTCTGTTTTATTGATCTACAATTTGCAAAGTTTTATTGATCTAAAGCATATTGGGCATTTTATTTTAAAAGTAGGGCACTACATGCAATTTCCCAACCAATACTTATTATTCATTTTATGAGTTTTTTTCTAAAATGTGTACTCCGTAGTTTTTTTTACTTAGGGATGAAAGCAATATTCGCATTCTTGAACCATCTCTTCAGGTTTTTTTACGTGTTGAGCAATTCTACCCCAACTATCCCTAATTTGATTGTCATCGTCACATGTCTTCAGAACAATCAAACAATTTTTATTTGAAGATTACATCCATCATACCACACTTGCAAGCCAAAACCAGAGCATGCACCTCCCCTTGTGTAGATTGCTTGTTCCTTCAACATTTTAGGTCGTTGTCGTAATAACCCTGGATCTTGATTGTCTCGAATGATGGCTGCAATTCCCCAACAGTTTTCCACAGTTAAGTTAACATTAATATTTCGATTTGCTTTTTCCCAATTCTTCGTATTACAGTTCATATTTTTGAATGCCTTTGAATTTGACTTGTTTGTTTTTTCATTAATATTTGTACTATTGTTTTGTTTGGTACTTTCACTACTACATATAATACATTTTATGACAAAGCTTTTACCTCGGCTAATAAATAACCGAGGTGCAAACCATAGACGCACCACATTTTAATTTTTATTGAAAAATACTACCTTTAGTGATATATTTGTGAAAACCCGCAATAGGATAATATAGGACCAGCCATCATTAGGCACCCGCCCTAAAATATGTTGCATATGCATGGTCTCCATTCAGTAGGTGGCTCGCCCTAAGCAGAATCATGGATGGTTACGTGTATACAGTTTATAACCACGCGAGGAAGAGTCATGACCATGTTTTCCTAAGAAGTGGGTAGTCAATAAGGTCCCTAATCAAGGTGGAATGGTTACTACTTCTCAAGATTCCTCAAATTCAAGCTCATAGGCCTCTATAAATATCTCACCCTTACACTACTACAAATACACCTTCGATAACACTAATTCTACTACGGTTAGGCTTCCACCGTAATGATATATCTTACTTAACGCGCGATAATTTTATTTATTTACTTATGAAAATTTTGATATGATATAATCACAGATGAAATATACAACTGTGGTTATATAATCACTCTTTCATGAGTTCGAATCTCAGCACCCTCAAATGTTTTATTTATTCAACATTTAGTCGTGTCTTTGTATTTTTAACATTTCTTTAACATTTGATACCACTGCGGTTAAGTAACTCAGCCATTATAACTTGTTTTAAATATTTTTAATTGTAATATACTAATGTGGCAAATGTTTTATTTCTTTAACATTTAGTCGCGCTTTTATTTTTATTTATTTTTAATTTTTAAATAAATATGATACATCATGGTTGCGTAGTTGAACCGTTGTGACATATTTTTCATTTTATGTTAAATTGTAATACACTGGCGCTTCTTTATGAAATTTAATTTAGTACATAACATATCACAACAGTTCTTATTTTTTACCGTGGTGGTATCATTCATTCATTTTTATCAAACTAACTAGCTTGTCTCTTCAGTAGCCATTCTTTGCTGAGAAACGATACACCATTTCAACCATAACGTTCAGTACTGAGAAACGAAACACCATATCAATCCTAACATTCACCGTTCATCATCATCAATTCATCGTTCATCATCATCAGTTTATTGTTTTGCATTCGTTGTACATTTTCAACCCATAGTCATCGTCATCGGTTCGGTTTCAACCCTAACACACCAACACTAACATCATCGTCATTGTCAAGGAGGAATACAACAACAACACTATTTGTATCAACCCAAATATTCACATTTACTTAGTCATCATGTTTACGGTACGTAAAATTTTTTTCCCATGCATCTATAGTAAATTTCAGTTTCCATTATTGTTGTTGTTTTTCTGGTTCTTGTTGAATGTGTGTCATAAAACTAGATTAATCTTTTGTTGTTGTTGTTTTTGAATGTGTATGTGATAATAGATGAAAGAGTTTGTTGTTGTTGTTGTTGAATGTGTATGTGATAATCTTCGAAAGTGCTTGTTGTTGTTGTTGAATGTGTATTTGATAATAGGTGAAAGTGTTTATTGTTGTTGTTATTGAGGTTGTTGTTGTTTTTGAAAATAGATTTCGTCTTCGTCGTATTCTTCATCTAGTGGCGAGTAAGCTATAATAAATGATACTCAAATCAAAAAGAAAAGATCACAAAGAGGTGCCATAATGCTTACCAAAGTAACAAAAATCCATAAATCTGGTATCAAATTGCCTATTGCGTTTGATTCATATTATAGAGTAGTTGATGGTGAATACTCTTCTCTTTTTAAGAGTTATGTTGTGTTCCTTATACGTAGCAAAATTAGTATATTGATAGATAATTGGAAACAAGCGTCAGATGATGTCAAAGATAACATATGGACAAACATTAAGGTGTTAGTTTTAATTATCATCATTTCAATATGACTTTCTATAATTTATAATACATTCTTATTGATTTAAATGTATTTGACCTTTGAGTTTATGGATGGTGAGAAGCACTTAAAAAAGTGTGTAAGTCATGCTAGAGGAACTTTATGTCACGACTCACGCGTGACTATATTAGGAAGCCTAAGATTGGTCATGAGCGTCCATGGATGAGGTATAGTTTTCTCTCGAAGAAGGTTTGGAAAAAGTTTGCAAAGGGTATTCGTTCTGAGAAATTCCTGGTTAGTACTAGTCTTTTTTATTTGAAGTTTATGATTTATAGATACTAATTATATTTTCACTATGTTTATAACAGACTAGAAGTCAAACAGGAATATAAAATAAAGCGAAAAACATTTACCCTCATAGATTGTCTCGTGTGGGTTACAGGAAACTGGAGGAAAAAAATAACAAATGGGAGATGAGGACTCCATTAGTCGTGATCGCAGCCCATCTCCACCGTCAAGGCATGAGAACTGGAAGAGGGCTTAACTAAAACCAAATGGAGAGTACACCTCAGATGCCTCAAGCGCAGTTGCTAATAAAATTGTAAGTATGATTTGTTGTGCGTATGTTAAGTGTTATTTAAATGTTGTGGTAATTACAATATTAATATTATCATGCATGTTGTGTAGGATGTGTTGGTTGAGGAGGCCCGTTGAGGCTCATTTGTTCCAGAACCGTGACATGATATACTAGTCGAGGCTATTGGAACCGATGAGCATGGTAGGCGCGTTCGTGGTGTTGGAGAAGATGTCGACCTGAGATTATTCTTTGGTCCAACCAAAAAAAAGCGTCAAAAACACTGAATTACAAGAGCGAAGAGAAAAGCTTGCGGTTATTAAGAAGGAGTTAGAAAAACAAAGAAAGATGTTAGAAGTCGAGCAAGAAAATTGGAAGAGAGACATAGAAAAGTTAGAAGAGTTATATGCGGTTTTATCTGAAATTCTAGTTTTTTATATGAAATATATGATATATTGTGTTTTATTTGAAAAGTTAGAAAAGATAGAAATGTGTTTATTATGTATTGTGTTTAAAATGAATGTTATGTCGTAGAGAATACGTGGATCCTTACCACAACGTATAAATGAAAATGATGATAATATTGATGATCAAGTTCCCCAAACACATATTACACGTCATGCTATCACTAAAGAGTTCAATGAGTTATTGGATCCTTCCGCAAATGAAATTGCTATGTTATCTTTCGTAAACCTTTAGTAAATCTTTTGCGAAATCTTTTTTCATTCTTAGATATGCCTCACATCACGAAATCTTTCGTAAATCAAATCGTTATCTTATTTTTGTTAAAAATTAATTTGGAGATATATTTC